GGGGGACACCGTATAATATTACAATTTCAAAGTTTTACGCTCACATTAACACAATGTAGATCATTTAGGGCGTGGGCTTCGATATTACCCTGTCTGTGCCATGCCGGAGTGAGAGGGCTACAGCATTCATTCCAGCAGTTACTCACACTCAAGTCGTCTGCTTGCAACAGCAAAGCGCCAAACCTCTACGCCACAGACGCCGATTTGGGGGAGGTGAGGGTCGAGTGATGGTGATGAAGACGACGACGACGACGACCCTGATGATGATTTTTTTAAAATTATTTTTTTCGTTAATGGGCTTGGTGGACTCAACGAAGAAATTTTCGAGTTCAAGCGAGAGCGAGGCTCTTTTTCGGCTCCATTATCATTATACTCCGAGGTACTTCCACTTGTCCAAATAACTCCATTCGAATTGCCATTGTTTCTTGACATTCGAGCTTATTATATTTGACATCCTCCTTTTCATGGTTGCATCTTCGGTAAAGTCGGTTGAGCTCTTCATTCACAAAATTCTGATACCATCTCATGCTCCAAAGATGGTCCGACCGCAGTCTCGCTAGCTCAACCTGGTCCCAGCGACATGAGATAAATTGTCCCTGCTTATTGGAGTACCCAGAATACACATCCTTCAGGTGCTGGTACTTAGCTCTGTGTGGTGGGTCTCTGATTCCCCTCTTGATAATTGGAGAGACTCCCCTGTATGTTATTAGTCGTCTGTGTCCTTTAATCTCTCCGACTTAATTGGCAGCTTGGTCTGCTGTCTCATTTCCTTCGATTCCAACATGGCTTGGAATCCACCGGATCTTTATTGTGGCTGTGGTTTCACTTAATTAGCTGCGCAAATCATTTATATATCTAACCTGTTGCCTAGCAGTCCCTTGCAGTGGGACTGACTATCGGTCAAGATCAGCACATTAGTTCTGCTGTGGAAATTGTCAACAATCCATTGTGCAGCACACATCTTTGCCTGGCATTCCTCATCATAAGATGATATGAAGAAGGCACCTTTAGTTCTGATGATTTCTGTTAGTGGTGGCTCATCTCATTATTTATTATCACTACTGCTGCTGCTCCTCCTTCGCGGTAACCTGCGACAGCCGATCTCTCAGAGTTAATTGTCACATCGGCACCAACCTCCTTGATTACATCCTCTGCACCCAGGGGCAAAGGCTGACTTGTTTGACAGGGTAATAAAAGTGAAACGGAACCAGATATAGATCTATATGGCCTGTAGATATCACACAAGAATCTTACTCGAGGCGGCGACTCTGACTGAGTTGTAAATGAAAACAAATC